ACGGTGTGCCTGGATGTGGCCCTGGAGCAGCGGAGGGAGCTGGCACCGTCGGCGAGATGGATGCCGGAGAGCAAAGTCCCCGGCTGGCGGAGGGGAGGGAGCTGCCAGCGCCGCTGTGCCTGCGCCTGGGCCTCGCGCTGGCTCTGGAAGTGATTGTGCGGCGCACGCTCCGCCTGCGTCCCACCGTGCCCGTGCACTGCCAGCGCCCCAACCGCCCCAGCCGGCCGGGGGCCTCAGGGCAGGAGGAGCTGCTGGAAGGGCCGGAGTTGGCTCAGAGGGGACGGGGCAGCCCGGAGCAAAGGGGAGGGAGGGAGACAGACAGACAAACTGAAGCGGGGCTCATGGGCTGCACCCCAGAGCTCCCTGCCAGGGGCTGTAGCCGGAGGGACAGGCAGGGGTCCATCCCATGTCCCTCATGGAAATGGGCTGGGGGTCTCTGTCCCCAGAGCAGGCTCCATGGCGAGTGTGAGGGGACCTGCTTCCCGCGATGTCCCCCCGCCCTGTCCCCTGCCTGCCAGCATCTGCTGCCCTCCCTTGGGGTCCCCGGCTGCCATCCTCCCAAGGCGGTGCCGGGGCCAGGCTGCAGCTTGTGGTGGGGGCCCAGCCGCTCCCAGCCCCACTCCAGCCTCCTGCTCAGGGCCGTATCCTGGACACTGTGCCGAAAACAATCGCAGGGGCTGCGTGGGCTTCCCGGGAGGAAACGGGAAGGCCAGCAATGTGCTCCGGATTAGGCAGCTGCGGGGGCTGGCGAGGCATGGCTGCAGGGGGCTTGGTCCACTCCTCCCGTCGGGACAGTGCCCGGGGGGCCACGCAGGCGCGGGGGTGGCAGGAGCATGGTGGCATGCGCTCCCCTCGGGGCTGCGAGGCCACGGCACCGGCACCGGGGTTAACCATCACCACTGGCCCCGCAGCTGGGGAGTACCACCCTGCCGGCACCACGTACCCTCTGCCAGGAGCCATGCCGCCCCTTCCCCATGTAGGGCTGTGGCCAAGCAGAGCAGATGGAGGCTGACGTGCCGTGTGCCGCCCCGGTGCCGTGGCCCCACTCCGGCCCCGCCCTTGGCAGTCCCTTCCCGCCAGCACGGCAGACCCCGGCCCACTGCGCTTTCAGGAAACAGGCGTCACTGCGCATCTACCGTGGCACCCGCTCGGCCCCGGCTCCCTGCCCACGGCGGGGGGCTCCCCAGGCCCTGTGGTGCTGCCGGACAATGCCAGGAAGCTGCGCTGGGCAGGCGGGTCCGTCCACATCGCAGTGGGACTGGGGGCACGTCGGAGGTTAACCCCGGGATGGGACAGGCACCGCATCCCTTCGCACGACAGCCCACCAGGACAGGGACACGCAGGCCACCCGGCACCATGGCTGGCATGCCCTGGCATGGCACCCATCCAAAACCCGCCTCCCCGCACCCTTGTGCCTCCAGCCCCTCAACACCGGCCTCAGCCAAACCTGGTGCCCTGGCTCCACCGCTGCTGCTGCTTCCCTACCTGGGTCGGAACCGGACCCCGGCTCGCTGGGCTCCCCGTGCCGCTGGCACGCCCCGGTGCTGCTACTCGGACACCGCCGCCGGGCCGGGGAGGCAGAGGGGAAGGGGAGGTCGGGACCCACCCTGCGGTCCTGCCCCTCCCCGGCCGCCCCGGCGCCCGTCCCCGTCCCCGGCGGCGGGTCTGCCTTCCTGCCCACCCACCCGCTTCCTCCGCGCCGGCCGGGCCCTGGGAACAAGCGTTGCCTTTCTCCCGCTCCCCTCCCCTCCACTGGGCTCCCGCCAAGGACGCTGCTTTGCCGGGAGCCCGCCGGGCTGGACGGCCCCGTGCCGGCCCTGCTGCCTCGCTCGCTGCCGGGGTGACACCAGTGGGGCCTTGGCCACGGGATGGGGGCTGGCTGGGCCGGAGATGCGTGCTGACACTGGGGACCGGTCCCTGCAGAGGGATGGGGGACAGCCCTGATGCACCGCAGCCCGTGGGGAGCCTCGTGCCGACCCCGGTGCCAGAGCACCAGCGGCAGCTCCAAACCCGCAGGGCCTGGGGAGCTGCCAGGTGAGGGGACAGGGGATGGGGCAGCCCCTGGGCCATGTCCCCTCTGCCAGGGGGAAGGTCTCGGGAGAGCCGCTGCCATCCACGGCACCGTCCACAGAACAGCTGGTGTCCCACTGCTGAGCCCCTGCCAGGCCCAGCTGGGGCTGGGGGCACTGGTCTTGGAGGCATGGCATGGCATGGTTTAGCAAGGTGTGGTTCAGCATGGCACGGCACGGCTCAGCGTGGCATGGCGCACCACAGGACAGCACGGTATGGCCCGGCACAGCTTGGCACAGCTCAGAATGGTATGGCTTGGCGTGGCACGGCATGGCTCACAGATACTGTGATACCTGTCCCTGCAGGGCTGTCCCCAGCCAGATCTGCTAGCTGCCCCCCTGGCAGGGCGGGGGTCTGGGGAGGCCACCTGCCTTGGCCAAGAGCATCACACCCCAGGCAAAATACCTCCGACACCTGGGAAAACAGAGGGGCCGGTTACCCCCACCAGGCAGGGCTCCCCCCACCCTGCCCGCTCTGCCCGGCAGCTGCTGGTTCCTGCCAGGGTCTGTCTCTGCCTGTCCCCGAGGCCGCTGCTCAGCACCACTGCCCCCCGCTCCGGCATGGGCAGGCCTGCCTGTACCAGGTGTCGGCATCTCTTCCTCCCGCCTCCCTGCCAGCTCCTGCCTGTCCTCTCCACCCCACTGAGCACCCTGCGGGGTCCTGGCCCTGATGGGGGTCTCGGGGCTGAGCTCCCCACCCCATGGATGTGCTAGGAAGGGAAGGCAGCAGCACCATGGGTCCTCAGTGCCCAGACCCCCTGCCAGTCCCACATCGAGCCCCCCTCATGCCGGCGAGCTCCATCCCCAAGCAGGGGTCATGTCCCTGCCCCAGGCGCAGGCTGAAGTGGGTGCTCAGCACCCTCCTGCAACACATCTGCCTGATGGGTCCCTGTGAGCAGGGTCCTGGGCACCCTCAGCCAGTCCCCAAGGAGCCAGCACGCTTGCTCAGGGTCCCCATGCCACACACCGGCTCCCCTCCACCGCAGCCTGGTGCCCCTGGCCAGGGGCTGCTCCTGCAGCCACCGGCACCATGGGGCTCTCCAGCAGGGAGGATATTTTTAGCAGTTCACACCCGGCCGGGGCTTTCCCTGGCCTCCTGGCAGTGCCCACGGGGCTGTGGGGCTTGCCAGCTCCACTTGCTTGGCAGTGGGAGCCACTGGCCGGCCGGCGGGCCGGCACCGTGCACAGGGCAGGTGCAGTGCACAGGAGCATGCAGCAAGCGCACATGGGACGGGCACTCGCCGCGAGCCGGTCGGCTCTTCTGCAGGAGGCAGTGGGAGGTGCCTGGCATCGGGGCACCGCTGCCATCCATCCATCCATCCTGCTCCGGACCTGCCGTACTGGGGGGGGGTGCTCCCGGGGCCGCCTGCTCTGACGGCCAGAGACCTCCTGGTTCCCAGGCTCCGTCTGTTCCCGATGACTTTCCCCATTTGTTCCCGTGCCAGCATTGTTCTTCCACCGAAACGGCTCCCCCCGCCCCGGCACGTACCTCCCGCCCCACCAGATTTACAGCCAGCTTTCGGAGCCTGGCTGCCTGCTCCCCTGCCAGCTCCCGGCCCCGCGCCCCATCGTGCCCCATCGCACCCCCGCCCGCCCCAGGCGATGCCGTCCTGGCTTCCCCAGCCCCGCTGCCACGACTGCACGGATCAGGACAGGCAGCACGGATCTGGACACGTCAAAGTGCAGGATTAACCCTTTCTGCAGCCAGAAACCTTTGCAAAAAGGTTTTGCAACCTTCTAGCAGCGAAGGCGCCCCGGCCCCGCTCGTCTCCCCACCAGGGAGCTCTGCCCCTATGTGCCCTCCCGCGGAGCCAGGGGACGGGGATGCTGCCCGAGCCCTGCCTGCACCTGGGACCAGGGTGACAATGTGCACCTTCCCTCCGGGGCTTCAGCGTCGAAAGGAACCTCCGCTCCTCCTCCGAACACCGAATTCACGGTGGAACCAGCAGCCAGCGGCACGACATCCGGCCAGCTGACAGGGAGGAAGCCACCATGGCTCCTCAACCAGCACCATGACACGCCACGGCTGGAGGGGGCCAAGCCACCGCCTCCACGAGTGCCTCTCCCAGCCCTGGCTACCCTGTCCCAGTGCCCCACCAGAGCTGGCTGCCGCCCAAAGCCCTGAGCACCCCATCACCCTGCAGCACCCCCGCCGTGGGCAGGGCGGCCTGTGAGCACCGTGGCGCTCTCCCGTGCCTGCCCCTCAGCTGGCGGCACCGCCGGGGCCCTGCGAGGTGCTCCCCGGGATGAGCCGTTTCAGCTGCTTTGGCACACGGCAGGCTGCCAACCCGGCCAGCTGGGCTAGCGAGCCGGGAGCTTGCCGAGCCCTGCACGCTTAAGAGTGGGCATCGCCTGCGCGGCAGGAGCCGGGGAAGCTGGCGGGGGCTCAGCCCCCCACACTTGCATCCGCCTTGTTATTGCAGCTGCTGGCGCGAGCCTGGGAGCCGCGTATCATTGCCTGGGGAGGCTCCGCTCCCCATGCCCAGCCGGCCCCAGCAGCCGGAGGAGGACTGAGCAGCTTCGGGGACGGGGGGGACACACGGGGGTGCCAGCCCCCCACCAGACAGAGAGCTAATGCACAGCAGGGACTCCACCAAAGCTGCACCGAGCGGAACACTGCTGCCACCAGGCACAGGAGGGGCTTGCCGGGGGCCGCGGGGAGGGGGCAGCAGTGGGGG